GCAACAGCGTCACACTGTTGACTCATATTTAGCTTGTGGTCCACTATAACCCCTAGATCCCTTTCAGCTGTACTCCTTCCTAGACAGTCGCTTCCCATTCTGTATGTGTGAAACTGATTGTTCCTTCCTAAGTGCATTTGCATTTGTCCTTATTAAACTTCATCCTGTTTACCTCAGACCATGTCTCCAATTTGTCCAGGTCATTTTGAATTATGAACCTGTCCTCCAAAGCAGTTGCAACCCCTCCCAACCTGCTATCATATGCAAACTTAATAAGCGTACTCTCTATGCAAATATCTAAAATGTTGATGAAGATATTGAACAGAACCGGTCCCAAAACAGACCCCTGTGGAATCCCACTCGTTATGCCTTTCCAGCAGGATTCTGAACCATTAATAACTACTCTCTGAGAATTGTTATCCAGCCAGTTATGCACCCACCTTATAGTAGCCGCATCTAAATTGTATTTGCCTAGTTTATTGATAAGAATATCATGCGAGACTGTATTAAGTGCCTTACTAAAGTCTAGGTATACCACATCCACCGCCACTCCCCTAGCCACAAGACTCGTATCCTATAAAAGAAATCTATCAGATTGGTTTGACATCTGTCAATGCAAACAGCCTGCAGCCTTTGCCCTGCATTTCTCACACTACAGACAGTGAAACCTGCCAACGTACCCAGTTCCTGCGAGAAGGGAGCCGCTGGCACCAGAGGTCTTCACCCAGATGTACAAGGAGTCATCGGACAGGCTGCATGGGCAGCAGGCAGTGTGTGTTCAGATAGGAAGGCAACTGCCTTTATGCAGCATGTTTGTACCTTCCCTTGGGGCCACTTGGCCATCAGGGAACCTCAGCTGATTGGCTTCCTGTGCACCAGCTTTAACCCCGTCATGGCCACCAGCAGGAGGCCAAATCCCAGGGGATGGTGGATGATGCTAAACAACCGGCCTACAGGCCCAGCCCTGCTGCAATCTCCATTCCTGGAATCTGGTCTTGCAGCCGTGTACAGTTGTGATTAGTCACATGACTACCTTGGAGGTGGCTGAGTAGTAATGATGATGCTGTCACAGCTGTGATCTTGCTAAAAGAAAGAAGACGCAGCCAGATTTCTGCCTAGCGGACCCCATTCCTGCATTACAAACCCAGAATACAGGGCAGGGACGGATGATTCCACAAGTCCCCATACGTTCCAGAGAGGAAAGCCCCTTCCCTTTTCCCAGAGGAATGAAAAGGGGGACCCAGGACTCAGAGATCCCCAAAGTTAGCACAGATCTCAGGGATCCACTGGTAGACAGGCCCAGCCACCCACGATCTCCTCAAATGCTCTAAGACCCTCTCCAGCTCCAGACTGATCACAGATGTGCTACCGGGACCTGTTACAATAGCCACTGCCCACAGCCACTGTGCAGGGTGGAGGGGGCTGCACAGAGATGGTAAGTCTGGTTGGACTAGAAAGGAATGTGAAGAATAACAAGAAAGTTTTCTACTAGTATGTTAGCAACAAGAAGAAGGTGAGGGAAGGTGAGGGATATTTACTGATTGGGGGAGGCACCCTCTGTGGTGAAAGAACAGGTTAAAGACTGAAGAGAAGTTGGACGTGCACAGGTCTGTGGGGACAGATGCAGTGCACTTGAGGCTGCTGAAAGATTTGATTGATGTGATTGCAGAGCTACTGGGCATTATCTTTGAAAACTTGTGGCACTCAGGGGGCGTGGTCATCTTTTAAACAGAGCAGAAGCAGGATCTGGGAAATTACCGACCTGTCAACCACGGTTCAGCCCCCAGAAACATCATGAAAGAGGTCCTCAAGGCATCCATTCTGAAACATACGGAGTAGAGGAAGTTGACCGGGAACAGTCAACATGGATTCACCAAGGGCAGGTCAATGCCTGGCCAACCTAACTCCCTTCAGGGATGAGATAACCGGCTGCGTGGATATGCGGAAAGTGGAGGATGTGATACACCTTGACATTAGCAAAGCTTTAGGCACAGTCTTCCATAGTATTCTTGCCATCAAGTTAACGAAGCCTGGCCTGATCGTTAGGCTCCACGAGGAGTGATCAATGGTTCAATGTCTAGCTGGCAGCTGGTATCAAACAGAGAGACTTGGGGATCAGTTGTGGGGCTGGTTTTGTTCAACAATGTTATGAATTCTCTGGATTACGGGTTGGTTTGCACTCTCAGCCAGTTTGCAGATGACATTCAGCAAGGGGGAGAAGCAGATTTGCTGGAGAGCAGGGATACAAGTCCAGCCTGTCCCCTTGCTCCACTCCTTCTACCAAAGAGACGCCCCTTCCGGCCAGAACACTGAGTCCCCCTCCCAGAGAAGCCTGGAGCCTCCACAGCTCTCATGGCTGCAATCCAGTGCCCAACCACACACACACACCCTCCACAGGCTGCTGAAGGAGAGTCGGGCTTACTGCTGCCGCCCCCAGGCACACCACGTAATCCCTCCTGAGACATCAAGACACCCCACAGGAAAAGCTGGTCTCTTCCTGAAGAAGCTGAACTTTCTATATGGGACAGGTTCTAGGGCAGATGAGAAGGCCATTGTGTCACTGCCACCAGTTGTTCTCATGACCTTGGAAAGGGTTGGATATTTAGAAGTTGGATGTCCACAGGTCTGTGGGGACAAATGCAGTGCACTTGAAGCTGCTGAAAGACTTGACTGATGTGATTGCAGAGCTACTGGCCATAATCTTTGAAAACTTGTGGCTCTCTGGCTGAGTGCGCAAACCAACCAGTAAAAGTTTGGCACAAAAGGGACTTTAGCCCAAACGGGAGCAGCACAGTATTTCCGCAAAAGCACTGACAATCTTACATGAGATCGTCAGTGCTTTTGCGGAAATTCAAGCGGCCAGTGTAGACAGCTGGCAAGTTTTTCAGGAAAAGCGGCTCATTTTCCAGAAAAACTGGCCAATCTAGACACAGCCCCAGAGAAGCCTGGAGCCTCCACAGCTCTCATGACTGGAATCCAGTGCCCAACCACACACACACACCCTCCACATGGGGCCAAAGGAGAGTCGGGCTCACTGCTGCCGCCCCCAGGTACACCACGTAATCCCTCCTGAGACATCAAGACACCCCGCAGGAAAAGCTGGTCTCTTCTTGAAGAAGCTGAACTTTCTATATGGGACAGGTTCTAGGGCAGATGAGAAGGCCATAGGGTCACTGCCCCCAGTTGTTCTCGTGGTGTCACTGTGTTATGACTATGAGAGAGTTTTAATGCATCTTGTAGAAAATGTGTCTGGTGAGGTGTCTATGGAAAGGTGAGGACTGGAGGATTATGATGGTCTCACGTGTTTGCATGGGTTCATTTTACGTCTGAAGTTATAAATATTGACTATGTACCTGGGTAGACACCCACAATGCTAAATATTTCATTTCAGTCTAGCCCAGTGGTTACAAACTTGGGTGGTGGGGCCTCCTGTGTAAGCCCCTGATGAGCCAGAGATGCTTTGGTTAGTCACGTGTCTGTAGCAACGGAACCTCACAGCTCCCATTGTCGGTGGTTTGCCGTTTTCAGCCAAGGTGGTCTGTGGGAAGGGGCATGGCCCTGGCAGGCCCTCGAGCCAAGTGTGAAAGGGGCTAGTCAGGTAAATGGCCAATAGAGGAAGCAGTAAGCCTTAGGAAACGCTTACCCCCTACCAGGTGAGCCTTCCCAAGAAAGTTCCAGGCAGCCTATGGATAATGGCTGCTCTGATTCAGCAGGTCAGGCAAAGGCATGTGACCAGACCACATGACCCTAAACTCCACTTTGGTACCTGTGGGGAGCCAGGGTCTTGAGATGGGGGCTACTCATAGAGCTTGCTCCTGCTGCTCCTCTAGTCTCAGCCCCCTACCCAGTGCAGGGAGAGGGTCCATGGTTTCCCACTGTGGACCAGGATCCCTGGTGACGCTTACCGCAGATGAGTTCTGGCTTTCGGAAAGGCCGGCAGGTAGGACCCCGAGGAGATGAGGAGCAGAGTGTGAAGGTTTGGGGGAAGGAATGGGGCAGGGACCTCTGAGGAAGAGGAGTAGTGGATGGAGCCTAAGGGAGAAGATGAAGGGCAGGAGCAGGTCACAGAGGAGAGCGGTACGGATTCGTTCCTGCTTTTGTCTTTTTGGAAAGGTCATCCCAAACTGCAAGAACTGGGCTGGAATTGAAGCCTGCAGGTAGAGCTGAGGCCTGTTTCCACCCCTTTCCCAGGAGCTGGGGAAGCACTAACAGAGGGCAAGGGGAGATCCTCTGGGCCTGAGTCTCTTGCCAGGACACCTGTGTGTCAGACTCTCCCTCACACACACACAGCTCAGTTCTGCCTGGGTGGGGAGTGGGCCTACCAGGTGTGTGCCGTTTGCAGAAAGCTCAGGAATGGGCAAAGCAAGTGCTACCTGACTGGGTTCATGCGGGGCTCCTGCATTAATCATGTCTCTGAGATGGCTCAGTCACAAGCCCCTGGCTGAGGGAGTTCAGGGAGGGTGGGAGTTTGTTCCCCTTCAATAGCCCTTTGCCCCAGCTAGTGCAGTCTCATGGATCACCCAGCACCCAGAGTGCTCAGGACTGGCCAGGACTGTGACTGCAGAACAGCTCTGATGCTTGTTTCATGGCTCTCAAGGTTTAAGCAGAAACAGGACAGTGACAGTCCAGGTGTCATGGGAAACAACAGTCACCTCCCTTCTCTTTATTGTTTGTGTTGACACAAATTCTGAGGTCGGAGCAGCCACCAAACAGCTCTTCAGGGCTCACCTCCCACTGGTCTCCTGGCTCCTCCAAACACAGTCAGTTTGTAAATGCTGCTTTCTTCCTTGCTCTCCTTCCCCCATCGCTCCTCCCTCACCTGCCCCTCTGCCACTGCTCCAAGCCTTAGACCCCATCTGACTCTCCCTCTACACAGTGGAGACCATTAAAGATCATGTCTTCCAGAGAGCTAAGGTCCAGGATGGAATACGGGGCTGTGCCCTCTTTTTTTTTTCATTTCCCATGTCACCAGTGCTAGAGCTGGGTGATGAAATGACCCTTCACTTGATGAACACCCTCATGATCCTCACACGAAGGTGTTTGCTTTTCACGCTGTACACGATTGGGTTCAGTAGGGGTGGGACCAGCAGGTAAAAGTAGCCCAGGACAAACTGAAACAAGTGAGAAGAGCTGTTCCCAAATCTGTGGATCGAAGACAGGCCAATCTCTGGTACGTAGAAGAGCAGAACGGCACATAGGTGGGAGACACAGGTGTTCAGGGCTTTGAGGCTCTCTGTGCGAGACAATCTGTGGATCGAAGACAGGCCAATCTCTGGTACGTAGAAGAGCAGAACGGCACATAGGTGGGAGACACAGGTGTTCAGGGCTTTGAGGCTCTCTGTGCGAGACGCAATGCTCAGCACTGTTTTGAGGATCATCACATAGGAGAGGAAGATCAGTAGTGAATCCAAACCCATTGTTAAAAGTGCAGTAGACAGGCCATAGATATTGTTGACTGTGATGTCCGCACAGGCCAACTTCATAACTTCCTGGTGCAGGCAGTAGGAGTGGGAGAGGACATTGGAGTAACAGTATTGGAACCGTTTCAGGAGAAATGGCAGTGGGTATACTACAGCCACCCCTCTTAGCATGAACACTAGCCCCATCTTGGCTACTCTCGGCAGAGTTAAGATGGAAGCGTATCTCAATGGCTTACAGATTGCGATGAAGCGGTCAAAGGCCATCAACAGGAGCGTGGAGGATTCAATACCTTGAAGCAAGTGGATGAAGAACAGCTGAGCAAAACAGGCATCTAGGCTGATCTCCTTAGAGTTAAACAAGAATATGCCCAGTATCGTTGGCATGGTGGATATTGATAAACCAAGGTCTGTGAGGGCCAACATGGAAAGGAAAATGTACATGGGCTCATGGAGGCTTGGGTCTGTTTTTATAATGAACAGAAGGAAGGAATTGCCTACTAGCGAAATGACATACATGATGCAGAAGGGGATAGCGATCCAGAGATGGATGTCTTCATGCCCAGGTATCCCGGTGAGAAGGAACACAGAAAACTGGACTTTGGTATCATTGACAGCTGACATATTGTACTGGAAAGCTCAAGGCATTTTCTACTTTACTTCCTGAAAGGAACAACAGGAGACTGGATGACATTTAACTAGATATCATTCTGCTCTCTGATCAAAACTAGAGACTTCCTAGAGTTAGAGGAAGATCAACTAAATCACAGTGTTGGATTTACACCACCAGGAGCAAAATAGGCACTGTCTGCTTGGATCAGACCAACAGTGCATCTAACCAGTATCCAGTGGCCAGGTCTTCATGATTCAGAGAAAGGTGGAAGAAACCCTCCAATAGGCAACTGAACTATAAACTATTCTCAAGGAAAGTTTCCCACTAACACCCACTAATTAGACATATTTTGTGGCGTAAATTAAAGAAGGTTTAATTGGAATTGCTTGTTCCCCATATAAACATCAAAGCCCTCTTTGAATCTGCCTGTCCTCTTATCCCCAGTGATACCTTGTGGCGGAGAGTTCCACAGGTTATTTGATCTCTGTGTGATTTGCAGCTGTGACCTTCACACACAGAAACCTTTTCTGGCCCTCCACTTTGGAGTCAGTGCCATTGTACCATGGCATGTGTATAAACATATGGCTAGTGCATCGTGAAAACAGTCATTCTGTTTCTCACATCTGCATTGAAGCTATTTATAAAGGTGTTTCATTGTCTCTCTCTAATAAGAGAAACAATAATAAAAAATAATAATAATTATTATTATTATTTCTATTGTTATTATAACTAGGACGAGGAGGAAGATTTTCTCCACTCCAGTTCATGTCACTGCCTCTTTGCAGTGCATGCAACAAATACCTAGGGACAGATTGCGAATTCAGAAACATTAACCTCAACTGCATCACTGTAGGTTTTTATATTTAAATTCAGTCAAACCTGGTCTCTATAATTTTTCCCTTACTAGATGCTACTGGTGATACACTCTGACCCAAAAAAAAAGCCCCCCAAGAGAAGTTGAAGTGCTTTGCCTGGTTAGCATTGATTGATTCAGGACAATTCAGTCATACTCCAGGTTTCTCTTCATCCTCAAAAGACCAGCATTCTCGATCTGTAGATACCAGGAAAATTACAATCTACAAAGACAGTTATTTTTTCTGGGCTGGGAAGGGTTGGCTTCACAAATGGTGAATACATTTGTACTAATAGCTGATTGTGCAAGATACCTCATCCATGCACAAGTAACGTGTTGGGCATCTATTACATACAACCACATTTACACTCCCCTTTCCTTTACCCTTTGCTGAAACAGACCAGGGGTTCTGGTCTCTCAAATTTTAGAAAGTCTGGCACGGGTATTGCCTGGGGATTGTCTTCATAACCCAGAATAAAAGTGTTAGAAACAGCTTCTGGTCAGGAGGCAGGAGGCAGGAGGCAGGATCATGCACCTGTTCATTGATCATAGAATGTTTTTCAGCAGACAAAAGACTATACACAAACCACATCACTTTTAACCACTTGCTAACAAACTCTTTAGTGCTGCACGCAGCCATGCTGATTGTGAAGGTGGGTGAAGGTGGTGGTGTCAGGGGGGAACCCTCCAGGGTCAACACGGTGCAGTTAACGTAGCCTCAGACTCAACAAGGCAGCCTGAACAGGGGCAGGAGGAAGGAAACACAAGAGACACAGGGAAGTGGCTGCTAACATGGTGATGAACCTGGTGGTGAACCCACACTACTCCGCTGGCGTGCACCAATCTCTCTCCTGCATGGTGCATTCACGGCTGCACAAGGCCATGGGGGTTGTGAGACAGACAGAGACACATAGGCTATGTCTACACTGGTGGCTTCTTGTGCAAGAACATCTTCTGCAAGGGTTCTTGTGCAAGAAGTCTTGTGCAAGAAAACGTCCACACTGCCATGTCCGAGATGTGCTTTTGCGCAAGAGCACCAATGGCAGTGTGGACGCTCTCTTGCGCAAGAAAGCTCTGATGGCCATTTTAGCCATAGGGATTTCTTGCGCAAGAAACCCGTACTGCGTGTCCACACTGCCCTCTTGCGCAAGAGAGCTTACACCTGTTAGAAAAGAGCGCAGCTCTTGCGCAAGAAGCTCTCTCTTACCACGCCGTACTGTAAATCTTCTTGCGCAAGAGCAGGCTGGCAGTGTGGATGGCCTGTGGATTCTTGCGCAGGAACGGTCATTGTTGCGCAAGAACCCGCCAGTGTAGACATAGCCTTAGTGTCTGTGTGGTGGGGGGCAGACAGAATCATCCATTGCTCCTTTCAGTACGCGAGGATCACTTCAAGCATATTGCCCTTGTAAGTGGTCCAGGAAATCCAGAAACAAGACTCTGTAGCTGTGATATCCTGTGCTATGGAGATGGGGTACGGAGCTGGATGGAGGAGGGGAGACATCAGCACCCTCTTGCTCATCCTAGCGCTCACCCTAAGAAAGCAGGCGACTCTTGGGAGCAACTCCAAGGCACAGAGCAGGAGCAGCACAGCAGTGGGGGGGGGGGTGGAACCCACCCT